CCCTAAAGCCCTAAGCCCCCCAAAAACCCTAAACCCCTAAGCCCTGTATCTCGCAGACCCCTTCTAGGTAAAGACCCAAAACCACGACCCCATCGGGACCTGTCAGGACCCTGCATCCTGCAGCCTAAGCCCCGAGAAGAATCCTCCAGTGTCGGCTGCCAGGAAGGCAAGAAGAAGAAGCCGCTGGAGTCGGCGAAGACCTTGCAGGACTCCGCAAGATCTCTCCCTAGTTCGAATATGGCATTTTATAGTACTCGTAAGCAAGCCGAAGAAGGAAATTTATTTACGCATGGATTTCCTTCCGAGGATACAGTTCACGACCTTAACCCTAAATCCCTTGCTGTCCCGCGAGTAGAGTAGGGTTTAGGGCTTAGGGTTTTGGGTTTGGGGCTAAGGGTTCAGGGTTTAGGGCTTAGGGTTTACGGTTTAGGACTTACTTCATTCCTCGTCAGGACACAAAGCCGCCGCCGCAGCAGAAGAATTCGCCGACTACCTCGGAGGTGCACCACCTAAAGCCCTAAGCCCCCAAAGCCCTAAGCCCCTAAAACACGCAACCCCTAAAGCCCGAAACCCCAAAAGCCCTAAACCCCTAAAACATTGAACCCCTAAAGCCCTAGACCCCTAAAGCTCCAAACTCAAAAGCCCTAAACCCCAAAGCCCTGTAAAGTTTAGGCTAGCACTACCTTATGCAGGACGGCCAGAAGCCGATGAAGAAGAAGCAGAAGCAGAGCCCGCCCCAGGATTCCGACGAGCCTTTCTTGAATATCCAAATGCAAACTATATTCAATGACTCTGCAGGAAGACAGCAAGCCCGACCACAAGCAGACCAGTCCGAAAGAATCCCAGGAGCCTTGCTTTTCATAACTCCCAATAGGAAATGCAACTCACTCTGCAGGAAGGCAGCAAGACCGAGAACAAGCAGACCCCGCCGAAGGATTCCAAGGAGCCTTTAAAGGCTTAAAGCTTTGTTTATATAAGATCCCCAAACCCAATAAACCACATGCTAAACATAACACTTGCAGGAAGGCCGCAAGCCCGACCAGAAGCAGACCCCGCCGAAGGATTCCCAGGAGCCTTTGTTCAAGATCCCAAACCCCACTAGACCATATGCTATAAACTTCAATCACTCTGCATGCAGGAAGGCCACAAGCCCGACCAGAAGCAGACCCCGCCGAAGGATTCCCAGGAGCCTTTGTTCAAGATCCCAAACCCCAATAGACCATATGCTATAAACTTCAATCACTCTGCATGCAGGAAGGCCACAAGCCCGACCAGAAGCAGACCCCGCCGAAGGATTCCCAGGAGCCTTATAATAACCAATTGGTTATGGTTTGCAAACCGATATCATGACTTGAAGCCAAAGCTGCCGAGGACGCCGAGGGTTCCTGGAGCTCCTGGAATGCTTGGGCCAATGATGGGTGGTACAGCAGTAGCTGGTGGACCGGGGGCTGGGATAAGTCGTGGCAGTGGGAGCCCCAGGCTTCAGGGAACGATGATGATGGCCAGCAGCAGAAGGACCCCTCTGCAGAAGCGGATGAGACCAAGCAGACAGCCAAGAGGCAAGCCTACTTGAAGGCCCATGCGAAGTGGGCCCGGTTTATGAGGAGCCTCGAGAGCCCCTCGATCTCATTTCGGATAGTGGGCTTGTGGGGTTTCGGTGTTGACCCGCTAGTCGAAAACCTAGGTCCAAAGACGCCAAACCAGATCCTCTCCGTGGGCAACAATGCAAAATCGGCTGAGAACAGCCGAAGCCTCAGATGATATCCCACAATTGTACTGATCACATTCAATACATGTATAGCACTCTCGGATCTTGCTGCTCCAGGACAGAACTGTTTGCACTATTTGTTCGAGTCGTGGTGCAATGCCGACGGGGATTGGCGGAAGTCCTGTGTGTTTATCAACGTCTGCTCGAAGAACACACATACACGCAGAGGAGTGAAGAAATGGTTGACTTACCAAGAGTTGGTCACCAAACTAGGCGAGGTGGTGGCCGATGCAATAGTCGAGCACAAGCGATCCGTGAAAGACACCGATGAAGTCCGAGATCACCCGGACTGCCCAGGGGTCAAGGCACAATGTTACAAAATTTCAAGTTAGCACCAATCCAGCTACACGCATTGCACCCTGCAATTTCTAACCACCTGCTACCAGGAAGCCCAACAGTTTTGGGTCTTGGATTCCGAAGCAGAAGAAGAGATCCAAGAAGATTGGATTTCGAAGCTGCTCACGGTCTCGGAGGAGACCGGTTCCCCACGCAAAGGCTTCAACCGACGAGGCAAGTGCTCCAGAGGACGTGGTGCTAACCCCAAGGCCGGATGACCTAAACCCCAAACCCCAATCACAACCCCTAAACCCTAAACCCGAAGTCCTAAACCCTAAACCCTAAACCCTAAATCCTCAACCCAAACCCTAAATCCTAAACCCTTAAACCTTAAATCCTAAACCCTTGAACCCTACATCCTAAATCCTCAAACCTGAACGAACCCATGAAGCCCTGCAAGCCCCAAAGCCCTGAACCCTAAATCCGATAATCAAGCCCCCGCGAGGTTCAGGACTTAGGGTTTAGGGCTTCTGTTTATTGGG